TGATCTATTATTTCAATTGGTTAGAACTTCGTGTTGATAATGTGTTATAAAAGAAATAGAAATAAGAGGAGAATTAAAGAGAAAAATGATGAAGAAATGATTTAACTATAAAGAGAATATAAGAGATAATAACTCTAAAAAATTCTCACAATCTCAACAAAATGCTTGTACACCAACTAATGAGCAATCAAGCCTATTTATAGGCTTCAAATTTGAGAAGAGAATTGGAAGAGATTATGAATAATCAATTGCATCACCTTTTCAATTTCTCATATTGAATGATGAATTGAATCATATTAATAATCATGAGTAGTGGGATATAAAAAATAGATGAACATGATAATAGACATTCATTATTTCATAACAAAGAGGAATTAATTTGTCTCTAAGAATAAAATGATTGACTTTTTATATATTATTTTTTATATATATCATTTTATTTTTCTCTTAAAATCTTATAAATATATTAAAACATACATTTTTTTCTTTTTTGATTAAAACTCGCTCTTAAAGTTATAATATTTTTTTATTCAAAATAAAAAAAGGACAAAAGAATCATTTATTTAAAAAAGAAAATTCATATGGTAAGCAAAAATTAATTAAATACAAAATTTTGATGAAAATATATAAAATTACATAGAATTTTTATTTGGATTATTGAATTTATTATTTTTATTTTAATAAAAGGGAATGTCAAAATCACACACAAATATGTTATTAATTATAAGTAAAACTAGAATTATTATTATTATTATCATTATTAAGTATTTTATGCATGCTATTTTTTAAGTGAAAAAGAAATTGAGAAATAAATTTTAGTAAATATTATGAGTTAATTTTTTTCCGATTTCCTAAAATGCATACTGAAAAAAAAAAGAAGTCTAAATGTTATATATTTATATGCAACTGATTTGTTTTATTTGGACATATTAATATTTACCAAATTTAATTTTGATTTATTTAAACTTTAGCATTATTTTATTTTAAAATTTAAATAGTTTTATATTAGACATAGGACTGGACACGGAACATCAAAGTAGTTGTGATCATAAATATTTTCGAAAGACCAAATATATAAATTCTCCATCTCTTCTGTATTTTTCCTCGTAACAACTAGCATACATTCCTCCTCCAAAGATGTCTAAATTTTCTTACCATAATCATTAACTCTTGGCAGTACATATAGAATGTCTTCTCCTTCTGTTGATATATATATCCATGTAATTTAGCCCTCTCATCCACGCATTATCCCTTAATCAACTATCACTTTCCCTCACCCTATACCTGAAAAGGAAAATTATGATGGCAGGAGATGCACCAAAATCATGTGACTGTGGATGGTTATGGCTACTGCTGATCTGACATTACAGTTTTGTTGTTATTTGTGCTGTCGTTTTTATTTTGCATATGTAGAAAATAATTAAAAAAAATAATTGAACAATCACTTATTTTTATCAAATAATCATCGCAACGAAACTTGAATATGATTTATATTATTTTTTAATAATTTTATCTTTTCCGGATCATGCTTGAGAAGTTGCAAAATCATAAAAAAAATAAAATAAAAAAACCTCCTAAATAAACAAAACTGAACAGTAGAAGTAATATAATAAAAATTATAACAACAAAAATAATACTTAAACGAAATAACTCCGAAATAACTTTTCTTTTATGTAGAAGTCTAGATATCTCTAGTTGTGCTAAAAACGTAAAATTTGCATTTCTTTGAACAGTGAAGTCCTATGGGAGTTGGCAAGAGAAAGAAGATGGTAATTGTACTAACTTGTATATACTGAATGATCAAGATTTGTACTGTTTATACTTCTTTTCTACTACTGGCTAAAATCCATTTCTTCACATCTGTGATTTGCAGCAATTGCAGAGGAAATCATAAGGGCATATGAGGAGCTTGGTAATGACAAAACTGAAGACAAGACCAACAAGCTGCTGAAATCTAAGCATAGCAACTAGGAGTCCAAAACTCCAACCTACTTGATTATTTTTGGATTCAGATTTTCTTATATTTTTTATTGTTTTAAATCTAATCGTTGATTTTTTTTTTTTTGAATTTAATGATTTAAAATAGGTGAGAAAAGTAAACCAATGATAAGTTAAGTTGTTATCATTTTTACCGTGCATTATCATATCCATCCAATTTAAATTTAAAGTTATTGATTTTAGGAATGTAAGAGTTTTTGAATCTCTCTTTTTTACACTGTCCAATTAAATAACGTAGAAGAAACCACCAGTCATCGTGGTCAATATGGAAATAAAATAGCTCATTCATTTTTTATGGTTTTGCGGTAAAAATTACTCTCATTCTATTACAATTTGATAATTTTAGATTTTTATTATTAATTTATGTAATTTGAACCTCAAAATTTTGATTTTTGGACAAATTTTATTCAAATCTATTAATTGTAAGTTGACCTTTATTTTTTTTGCTGTTATTTTTTCTGTTAATTTTTTTTTAAAAAAAGTTTAAAATAATTTTTCTCTATTTTTCAAGAGAGATTTTTTTCTACCCCGTTTATATATATATATATATATATATATATATATATATATATATATATATATATAATTTCATTAAATTTGTCAATAAACTTTTTTTTGGTTCTCCTTGAAAAAGAACTTTTACTTTTTGAACCTATCTTTAAAAAACTAGAAATAAAATAAAATTAGAAAAGTTAAAAAAATAGTTTTCTAACTTTAAAAATTTTAAATACATATTATATTTTTGAATTAGTTGTGAGAAAAAAATCCTATAAAACATATGAAGATAAAAAAAATTAAATAAATATAACTATATTTAAAATTTAATAATTGACAATTACAAGAATAAATTTATTGGCATGATAAAAAAAAATTTTCAGTTAAAATAAATTATTTGATAATTTCAATTGATCAAATTCAACCAATAAATATTTGTATTTTATTAATTATAAAAGCTGATTGTTTTAATGGATAATGATACAACATAAAAGTTATTTTCAAAATAAAAAAATTAGATACAAATAATAATTTAATTGACTAAGAAAAATCATAAGGATTAATATGTCGAAATTTTAAATGGAAAGAATCTCTCTTGAAAAATAACAAAACAACAAATAAAAATTAACAGTTAGTTGGATTGATTGTTAAAATTAATAAATTTAGATAAAATTTATTCAAAAATCGATATTTTAAAATTTAAATTATGCATTATTGTTAATAAAAATTTAAAATTATTAAATTATAATAGAACGGAGGTAATTTTTTTCATTAAACCTTTTCTTTTGATCAATTTTCTGAAATGGTCCTCCTTCTGCCTCTAATTTTCTGAACTTTGACTAAACAGTCATCATCACTATGATTTTCACCTAAGAAACATCGAAGCGTCATGCTACACAACAGAAACATTTTTAAAAAAAAAAAGAAGAAGAAGAAGAAGAAGCAATTTGTCATGGGGTGATTTTTGCTTCCAAGACAACCATATATGGGTCCGTGATATGTATATATTCTTCCATGGTAGTGCTCCTATAGTCCCCTACATCCTCATAGACATCCACATCCTTGAAATGCCACCTGTCAGATACATGATGATGTAACTGCTGCTACTGTTTCCACATTTTATACGCAAGTTTTGACAGATGAGAAGAGGGATCACGGATTGGAATTTTAGCTGATTAATGCATGTTTCGTCTCAAGTGCAGGTTGGCCATGTTGCTTTATCCAAGGACAAAACGAACACATGATGGGAGAGAGATAGAACAGTGAGCTCGTGAATATTAGGGCAAGAAACAAAATAATTTAGTTACAGTTTCTTTTTTCTTCTCTACAGAAAATTCCACTCAAAACCCACCATATATATATATATATATATATATTGCCATTTGTTGTATAAAATGGTTGAAAGACACTACTATCATTTATAGTTGACAATATGAAAGAAGTAGTCCTATCATCCATTAATTGCTGGCCAACTTCAGTCTAACAACCACTGCTCTTCTGGAATCACATTACCAATTAATTGAGTTTCAAATCCCAATCAAATATTTCAACATTTCTTTTGTTTTCTTAGCTCATATGAAACGCATGTAAACGACAAGTAGAATTATAAATAATAACACATATTTTATATTTAAAATTTTCAAAACATTTCTCTTGTATCGTATGAAATTAATTAACAAAATAAAAGAGGTTGATTGCGGAAGAACATATTACAATTTTTTTTATTAATAGTTTAAGATATTTTATAATCAATTAGACATAAGTTTTTCTTATCGCCTAGAGCGATTAAATCATGCAGACCAATGAATGCATAAGAGCATGGCAATGAATAATTTAATTATAACAAAGAAAATATAATCATCATCAAGGAAAAAGCTATTTGAATTATCAGCATCTTTTGCTCTTATAGGGTGTGTCAATTAATGATCGATATGATTACCAAAAATTAGCTAGCCTTCCTAACGAGGAATATTTCTCTGTTTTAAGACAATCATCCATGATTCTATCTACCCCATTTGTGTATACCAACAGAGCAAAGACGATATGGATGCCGAGGTATAGAAATGTAAGGGAGGAAACAAAATTGATTTTCTGGTAGGTGCTCTTAGTAGCAAGTTAGTCTTCGCATTGGATCCAATTAGTTGTTTTAACTCTAATTAACAAGTAAAACTATATATTTAATCATAAGGGTTTTGTACAAATGACAAGTGGGTTTGCTCGTTATCCAAAAAGCAAATCCTAAAAAACAATATAAGAAAATAATTTTTATGAATGAGCAAACCTGAATGTTGTCTCAGTACATGAAAACTAAATCAAGATACTTTAATAATAATAATAATAAATAAACAACTTGGGGCACTGTCACACTTTTAATTCTTAATATTCTTGCTATCGACTACAAACACTAAAGTGACGGAAATATTCATGAACATATCTCTCCAGTACTTCGTTTTTTGGACACTTCAAATAATCCTCTCTCTCAACCTTCAATCTCCTTCTGCTTCTCCATGGAAGATCAATCACAACCTTCTCCACCACCACAATCATCTTCACCGTTGCCACAACCACCACCATCGCTTAAAACCTATAAATTAACAGCAACGTCAATCTCCTATGTTAAATCCACCACAACTTCCAACAGCATTATCGCACCACTCTTCCTCTTCAAGCACTGCACAACAACCCCACCAAATTACATCCTAAAGGAAGTGTCTCTCACAGCTTATCCATCCCAAATCCTTGCCATTGTTGGCCCAAGTGGAGCTGGAAAATCCACTCTTTTGGACATTTTAGCGGCTAGAACTTCACCATCAAGTGGCATTCTCCTTCTCAACTCCACCCCCGTAAACTCGTCCTCATTTCGCAAGCTTTCAGCTTATGTCCCTCAACATGATGCATGCCTTCCATTGCTCACTGTATCTGAAACATTCGCCTTTTCTGCTCGCCTTCTCAACCCAAAATCATCACAAATTGCCACAATTGTTGAGTCTCTTCTCAATGAGCTAAACCTAACACACTTGGCTAACGCAAGGCTAGCTCATGGACTATCGGGTGGTGAACTTAGACGTGTTTCAATAGGGCTAAGCCTCCTTCATGACCCCGGCATCTTACTTCTTGACGAGCCCACTTCAGGTCTTGACAGTAAATCAGCTCTTAATGTGATGCAAACCCTCAAATCCATTGCTACTTCACGCTATAGAACCGTGGTTTTGTCCGTTCATCAACCAAGCTTCAAGATCCTTTCAACTATAGACAAAGTACTTTTGTTGAATAAAGGAACAGTGGTTCACCATGGAAGCCTTTCTTCGTTGCAAAGTTTCTTGTTTTCTAATGGCTTCACTGTCCCTCCACAGCTCAATGCTCTTGAATATGCCATGGAAATCCTAAACCAGCTTCACGAGAGTAAACCCAATACACCACCATCACTACCTCCATCACCAGACAATTCTACAGTGTCCCCTTCTGATAGTAAAGCGAGAAGTATCAGAGACAAGACTTCAAGACTCCATGAAGTCTGTGTTCTATATAGTAGGTTTTGGAAGATTATTTATAGAACAAGGCAGCTATTATTGACAAATGCATTAGAAGCACTTATTGTTGGTCTTGTTCTAGGAACTATTTACATCAACATTGGATATGGCAAGCAAGGTATTGAAAAAAGGTTTGGTCTCTTTGCTTTCACTCTCACTTTCCTTCTCTCTTCCACTACTGAAACACTCCCAATTTTCATCAATGAAAGGCAAATTGTACTAAGAGAAACATCAAGTGGGGTTTATAGACTTTCATCTTATCTCATAGCAAACACTCTTGTTTTCTTGCCATACTTGCTTGCAATTGCTATCATTTACTCGGTCTCAATTTATTTCTTGGTGGGTCTTTGTGATTCCTGGCAAGCTTTTGCTTACTTTATTTTGATCATTTGGGTCGTTGTCTTAATGGCAAACTCATTTGTTTTATTCTTGAGCTCTCTTGCACCAAATTATATAGCTGGAACTTCTTTGGTGACAATACTTCTTGGCGGGTTCTTTCTCTTCTCTGGCTACTTCATTTCACAGAATAATATGCCCAAGTACTGGCTCTTCATGCACTTCTTTTCCATGTACAAGTATGCCCTTGATGCACTACTCATCAATGAGTATTCTTGCCTTGTAAATAAGTGCTTCTTGTGGTACGAAGAGACCAACACTTGCATGGTGAATGGGGGTGATGTTTTGCAGAAGAGAGGACTCCATGAAAGTCAAAGGTGGACAAACATCTACATTTTGCTTGGGTTTTTTGTGTTCTATCGTGTGCTTTGTTTGCTGGTTTTGATCAGAAGGGTTTCAAGATCAAAAAAATAAAGGCTAATTTAGCTTAGATGTTTAATTAAAAGAATGATCACTTTCTTCCAAATACTATTGTAATTTTTTTTATAGGGTTGTTGAAAATGAAGCTTCTTTAATGGCTGTTCAGCTTCATTTTGCTTGTCAAAACAAAAGAAGAAAATAAATATCATGAAGCAAGTTCAATTCTTGATGATTTTACTCCCTTTAATCATCTATATTGCTATATTGCTCTTTGTCTTTTGTTGCAAGAAAAAATAACAAAAAAGAAAAGCATGGGTTGGTTGGAAGCTTGATATTCTTGAATGGTCTATAACATTTATACAGAGGATAAGGGCCATTAATTACCATTGAAACATTAAATATATGTACTGTAATTTCATGATATATGCCTGCTAGCAACTGTGACGATTGGATAATTTGTGGGATTTCATCTGAAATTGACAATTGCAAACTAAATCATGATCGATGACATACTATGAAATAATTGACGTAGCAACTTGTACTTTTCAAATTGAATTTACGCATCCAACATTAGGATCTAAATTCATGTACTTGTAATATGTTTTTTTCCCAAGACCAACTAACCTTTTTTTTTTTTGCATCTATGGGTAGAGATCCATGCCATGGTCATTAATATCTTTTGATTGGTCAATTAGGGATCATATGATTGAAAGGAATGCTGACCCACATTGTTTTGTTAGCTATATGTCACGGGTCTCTATCTATTTTGATGCGTGGAGGGAGTGAAAAATCCAAGATTTGTGTCATCCTCATTGTCCTACCTTTTGATGAATAGGGAACTGTTGTCGGATGCTGATTTGCCTTCATTTGTTTGCTTCCTCTGGCTTTGAATCAGTGCATGTTCACGGGATCACTTCCTTCACTCTCTATTCTTTGGTCACTCGTGAACTTATTCTTGGGTTCTCTGCAGCGTGTGGGAAGTTTCAAATATATTTTTATATTTAGTATTGAAATTTTACAAGGAACTATTAATAGAGAGTTAGTCTTTCACGTATACGAATTGTTCAAAACCCAAAAGCTATGACATCAACTTTTTTCTTCCTAGATTGTTTTACAAGAAACCATGTCGATTTTAAACATACAGAGTTAGAAAATTAGATTTGTTACTATTCAAAAGATTTAAATCTTTCTTTTAATTTTACATATTATTCATTATTAATTTAATTATTCAATGTGTGATATTTATTTTAAGATTACTTCACTTGTAGTTCATCTTTTGGATCCGTTAAGTTACATGGGAGGCTCGATATCATATGCAATTAGAAAATTGAGATTGAGTTTTATTCAAAAGACTTAAGTCTTATGATGAGTTATCTCTTTTTAATCTTATATATTATTCATTATCAGTTTAACTATTTAACGTTGGATATGTGCTCTAATAAAATACAAATTAATAAAAGTTTTTGTATTAAAAAAAGATAAATATAAATTAGATACGTTAAATTTTGATGATAAAATGATAAATTTGTTTTTATGTTTCATGAATTTTCAAAAATAAACTAAACATAATAAAAACACATCATTAAAACTTTTATTTTAAATAAAAAACAAATATCATAGATATTTCCAGCCATCATCACTTTCCTAGATCCTAGACGTAGCCCAACTTTACCTAAGCCATAACAAGCCCAGCCCAAGCAGTGAGTTTTGAGGGAACAAAATTCTTGATCTGGCCTAGATGGGGGCTCATCCCAACTCAGCTGAAACGGCCTACCTTGGATAGAATTGCAGGGACCATATAGGGTGTAGAGGGTCAGGAGAGAATTAATTCTGGGGCAAGATAGAGGCCCCTTTTCAATCGATCCCCATCTAAAACTAGCTATTTATTCGCAATAGAAATAGAAAAACAGGGTCCATCTACTAATGCCTTGATGGAGACCTCAATCCCAACCCAACCAGACAACCACATGCGACGTTTCAAACTCTCAACCACAGCTTTTAATACACATCGGTTCCCCTACATATATATACTTATTTGCTTCTAGAAAAGAGAGAGAGAAAAGGCTGGCATGGGCTGACCGCAACCGCATGGGGTTTATTTGACGTAGTTGGTAAAACAAGTACTATATTGTCACGTTATCATTCGAATTTTCATTTAAAATCCGATAAAAGATAAACTTACTTTTTATGTAAGAAAGTTTGCACAAAAATTACCTTAAAAAACAAAAAGTAATTGACCACGGAGCTATAACTCGGAAATTTGCAACAGATTTTTTTTTTTTTTAAACCATTGCAAGTTTTCCATTGGATTCGCACCAAATTTGCGTAGTGACGTAGTATTTTATGGGCTCATACAAGAAACATATATATAGATAGTAGGTAGGTAGGTTAAAACAGGCACCGAATTAATAAGCTTTGATAGCCTATGTAAATTACGAGATAAGATAGGCATTAATTATTTGATTAATTAAGAGAAAATTAAAAGCTCAAAGCATTTTGGGTCTCCAAATGCTTATAAATTTTGAAGCAGAAGAGATCAGAAAGAGGAATTAAGGAGGAAAAAGGAGGGATTTTATCCGCATACTGAAATTATATAGGATGCTTGAAGAAGGGGAAAAAAGAAATTATTGATTTTTTATAAAAACACATTTTTAATTTAATTTGGATAATTTTTATTTTTAAAAGAAAGGGGAAACAAATATCAGATTTGTATTGATATGATTTAGATTTATGAAGAATTTAAAAAATTAAAAACCATCTTTTGATAAAATGATGGATTTATTAATGAAACTCACTTGATAGTGGTAAATGTTAAATTTTTCTTAGACGTGATTTTCTACTATAATTTTTTAAAAACCATTTTTTAATCAGATGTATTTATTAATGAAATTATTAATGAAACATACTTGATGGTGGTAAGTGTAATTTTCCAGAGACATGATCTTTCAACGTAATTTTTAAAAACCATCTTTTGATCGGATGATGGATTTATTAATGAAGCATATTTGATGTGGTAAACGTGTAATTTTTTATAGACATGATCTTTTGATATATATATATATATATATATATATATATATATATATCAAAGTTTTAATTTTATATATGCTAGATTTCCTATCTTTGCATAAAATTTATTTCTTTCCTAAAGTTTTTCTTTGTCTTTTTAAAAGGAAAAAAAAACAAGAAAAAGAAAAGATTCTCATCTTGGGATGGGCTTACGACTTTTAGCAATTACTAGTCAAATATCTACACTATGCTGTAGATAGACAACCATTACATATGTAGGGTTAATTATTAGTATGGTGTAATGCTAGTAGAAAGTTTTATTTTTTGTGATTAATATAAATCAAATATATATAGTTAATTTGTAATAAAACTATATATATATAACAGATTGATAGTATATAAAATAAATAAAAAAATATACAAAAAAACCCACCTAAATTGTAGAAATCGATTGAAGTCAATAGATTAAAATAAAAACTACAACAAAATTGGTTACGATAAATTCTGAATAAATATATATAAAAAAGAAAATAAAACTTGTGAATTTTTTTAACTCATTATTTAAAAAAAAATTGAGTCAAACTATCTAAAATATACTTTTGGCTCTCTCTCTCTCTCTCTCTCTCTCTCTCTCTCTCTCTCTCTCTCTCTCTCTCTCTCTCTCTATATATATATATATATATATATATATATATATATATATATATATATATATTAAAAAATAAAACACTCATTTAAAAATATAAAAATAATTTATTGTATGAATTATAATAATATATTTTAAAAAAATAAAACATTGACGTTGTAAAAATTATCCCAAAATTCATATACTAAAAAACCTAATTTATTAACAAATAAAATTATATCAAAAAGTTATTAGTCATTACAAATTTGCAATAAAATCAAAAATTAAAAATATTTCAAAATGGCCATTGTAACCTAAAAATATGTTTGTTAATCATGAGCCACATATATATATGAAGGAAAAAAAGAGAAAAGGATAGAATGCCAACCCAGGCACCAATGCTTAGATATATGGAAAAAAAGAAAAGAAAAAAAGAAGGAGGCGGCCAAGTTGGGTCGCCAAGTTGGGTAACCGGGGCTTGGCACGTGCGTGCCTAAAAGCCGAGCCATGGCTGCTGGTCATGTAACTCCCGTAAAAAGTTTAAATTATATATATATGATAATACTTAAAACATGTGTTTGAATTGCTAAATTTTCTTACATTTTACTATTTTGAGATGTCTAAATGATAAAACTTAAGCTGTCTTTTGTATTCTATGAGCTAGGTGTGGAGCTGATTGAAAAATGACGTTAAAAAAATTGTAAAGAGAATTTACGATTAAAACCAATTCAGCCATTGAAAAACACAAAAAGCATGGGCACGTTACGAAAAGTAGCATGGGCACGCTAATATAGCAAATGTGGACACCTGGAAAGCACAAGAAGCATGGGCACGTTAAGAATAATAATGAGGGCATGTAGATGCGAGCGGACATAGACGCAATAAGACATGAAGGCGCGGGCACGTTGCAACTTGATACGGGCATGCTGAAATTCGTAAAAACAGACAACGGACTGCAAAAAGAAACAAAAATTGTTGCGATTTGCCAGAAAAAGATGCCGACCTATCAAAAGAGGAGAGAATATTATGTATCCTTTTTAGAAAATAGACACATTGTATAAATAGAAACCTAGCGAGACTAGGACAAACAACTTTTGATTATTCTCGTAGGAGGATGCAATAGGACATGAAGGCACGGGCACGTTGCAACTTGATGCGGGCACGTTGAAATCCGCGAAACGAGACAACGGACTCGCAGAAAGAAACAAAAATTATTACGATTTGCCGGAAAAAGACGCCGACCTACCAAAAGAGGAGAGAATATTATGTAACCTTTTTGAAAAATAGACACCTTGTATAAATAGAAACCTAGCGAGACTAGAGCAAACAACTTTTAATTATTCTTAGATGAGGCGGCTTTATTTTCTCTCTCTTTCATGCTATGGCGGGTGTCATGAGCAGCTAAACCTTTCTCCTTGGTGAAGGTAATCGAAGCTTTTGAAAATCAAAGATTTTGAGGTACTTAAACATTAATATAAATCGGTTTGTTTATTTCAAGTATTGAACTTTCTTCTATGCTCATTTTCATGATTATTTAAGTTGATTTCTAATGTGTACGAGTTAGTTTATTAATTTAGATAATCTATAGCTAGGTCAAATATTGAATCCATAATTGTTCAATCCCTTTGATTTGTGTAGTAACTAGGAGTGTATGGTTTACTTGCGTCGAAACTAATGAATCTTAGGAGGATTGTTCAACTAGATTAAATACAACTATATATGTTTTTGTTGTCTTGCTTTGTTGATCTTTCTAATACATAAAGTCATTATTTGATTAAATCTTAGATTGTATCTAGGGTTGTTAAATAATAAGGGTTGATTAAAATACATGTTTTTAGTTGGCTAATAGTAAAGAAAGATTGATTTCAATATCACAACAAATATTTGAATGGGCATCCGATATTTCGTGCACCAAGGATAAATCTCAAGTTCCAAAAGTGGAAGTTACCCGAACCAAGGTTTGCTTACTTGAATATTTACTTTAAACTCATTTTTCGAATTTAATTTGTTTAGTTTCAGGTATATCTCAATCAAATCGAACCCTCGTTTTTTTTATTTATTTCATGTTTTTTCTAGACTTGTGACGACTAACGCGATTGAATTTCTTGTGGGATCGATCCCTACTCTCCCTTATTACATTTGTGTTGTAAGAGTTTAAGAGTTTAATTTGGGTGCACACGACAAGACAAACATATATATATATATATATATATACATATATACATATACATATATATATATATATATATATATATATATATATATATTAAAGTGGATTCTTGAATTTTTGGTGTGCTTATTGCATGAGGATAATTGATTTTTAAATGGTTTCCATAAATATTAATTTAACTATGTGATGTTACAAATAATTTGTTTTGATTTTAAATCTATGAATAATTTTCTAGCATAATAATAATAATTTATGCTTGTTAGCCGATTTAAAAATTTAATTGAGATGTGGATGTAATTTGTATAATATTTTAATATTTTTATGGTTTTAATATTTGAGTGTTTATGGGATTATTTACAGGAATAAATTTTTTGGTAGTTTGGTTAGTCGTTATTTATCTTCCTCGGTGCGTATCTAGAATGTGCCATATAGATGAAAAATCATCTAAATATTATTAGGGTGTTGAAATTTTTAGACCAAAATACCCCTATGATTAATTTTTAATCACATCACCTACCCTCTAATTAGAATTTGCCACCTAAGCTTCTAATTTCTTCTACTACTTTACACCCCATAAGCTTAGATTATGATATTTGTTAAATTCATTAATGAGGGAAGAAAAAAAAGAATAAGAGAAAAGCCAAGATGGATGGCCGGCCACTTTTAACAAGAAAGAAAAAAAAATTCAGCTCACCAAAAGAAAAAGAAAGCCGAACAAGAAGAAGGAAAAAGGAAGAAGAAAAGAGAAAGATGAAGGAAGGAAAGGAGAAGGAAAACCAAGAGATTTTCTAGGAAACTTAAACCAAGTAAGTAGGAATTTATTTTACACCACAAATTTGAATTCTATGTGTTTAATTTATGTGAATTACTTGAGCTGATGACTATGCTTCCATGAGTTATTTATATTGATGTTGTGAGTTTTGATGGCTTGATATGAATTTATTGATTTATATTGAGTATTTGATATTTATTGATATGCTTACTCATTAATTTTGATAAAGCTTTGTTTTATATCTAAATATTGGTTGTTGGGTTTGGTTGGTGAATCGATGTTCTTGGATCGAATTTATTTGGAATGAATAATTATTGATGTGGATATGAGAGGAATAAATTTGAAATGGTAGATGGTGGGTTAGTATGATAATAATTAATGGTATTACTTATTAATCATATGATGAGGAGATATTTATTAAAGGGGTGGATGGGTATTAATAGCATAGAAGAATAAACTTTAGTGGATAGAATAATTGTAGAGAATAATATAGAAGCATATTAATTATTGGAGGTTATTAATTATTAAGTGTTATGAATTAAATTGACGTGAATAATTGTTGTGGATAATTTTGGTGTTAAGTAGTGAATATGGATTTATTAATTAATTAGGTGAGTGTATATATATATATTAATTGGAAGTAAATATTTTAGGAGTGTGACTGATTAATGTGTTAGTGGTGGATTAATTATATTAAAAGATTAACCTATCCTATATTTGTGGTTACATTAATAATTAAATGGGGGTATTGATTAATTAATATGTCATATAAATAAATAAATTCATAATAAGCTATAAGATGGGGTGTGATTATATATATTAGTGGGGTGGGGTGAATTATATTAAAAGATTAATTATATTGATTAATTAATTATATTCGAGTGGTAATTTATTTTCTTAAACAAATATTTATGTGGGATATATGAGGTATGTATTTATTCCTATATGTGGGATGAATTTCAAGGAATGGTTTGAGAATGTTAGGTTTGGTACTCATAACTTGACGGATATGGTAAATGAAACATCATTATACATCATATGCATTTGTGGGTATATTGAAAAGTCGGATGGTTGAGGATCGATAACGTTTGGTAACCGAAACTAGTTTAAATGGGTATTAGCGATGAAGATGTATGTGTGCTCTATTAATTAGTTACACCGTTATGCGATGACAAATTTCGCTAACCGTTTGCTACAACAATAAAAAATTTCGTTATTAGCAATACGTGATAAGGCAATCATCGAAAGATGAAAATGGAGTGGACTTGCTAACACCTAGGGTACCAAAACTAAAATGAGTAGACGAATTTAAGATAACAAGAAATCATTACATAGCACGTGCATTACCCTACTTACCGAGCTTTGACTTATATTGTTATTGTTATCTCATAGTGTAATAGGTAAGAACAAAGATGGTTCCGTCGAGGAGACTGTCGGTTCTTACTAAAAGGGCTCATGTGCTACCCGAGAGTATATGAATCTTTTAAAGGGTTATAGATAAGTAATGTTGTGTCTATTTGTTGGTAATCGACATTGTGGATATTTTGTAATTCCTGTGATTTTATTTATTAATACTATGTAAATTTTATTGTACGTATTTCATTGTTTAATATTTTATTATTTATGATCGAGTATTATAGGGATTAGTCGGGGTTTTAGTCTTAATAACTTAACGAACCTAATCACTTCTATTTGGGAACTAGTAAGTGAGTTAGGGGCATTACGAGTCAGCCCAACAGAAAAAAAAAAAAAAAAAAAAACCAAGATACTATTCATTACTGTTCACTTATTGTGGACATACCTCAATTCTTTTAGTTTCTTTAGAATACGCTTTGTAGTTGGCTATCAAGCATTATCGTGACACAATAGCTAGTACATTAGAGATGCCTCTTTTTCGATCCTCTCATACTAAAAAAATCCTCTCAATGCTCTAATTCCCACACCAAAATTTGGGCTCTACTTTTTTTTCTTTAGTTTTTTAAATAAAGAAAAAAATTCCAACGTAAATAACAAATTTTGAAAACATATTAAAATATTTAATTAATATAAAAGAAAGCATAAATAATTTTTTTTAAAAAAATTAATCATTTTAAAATCTTTTTTACTTTTTAAAATCAAGTATTTCTTTTCAAATAAATAAAATAATTCAAAAAAAGAAGAAGCAATATTGATTGCCCCTCAAGAGAGGCTTATGCCCCAGTACTCCAATTCCCACACCACTGTGAATACATAATTCCTTTTATTTTTTCTTTTTAAGTTGAAATCAATGAAAAATTCGTGTAACTATGAACGAAAGTATTCTTGTTATATACTGAACCAAAATGTGTCCATTCATTTGCTCAAATTGTAGCCACAAAGATGCATTGTAAAAAATCTACAGCTCAAGAGTATATAGTTTCATTAAGCTCTATGTTAATGAGATTGTAAATAATTCAATAGGTTATCAACCCCCTCAGCGTATATGCAAGGTTGTGATGCTTCAATATGTTTAATTTACAACCTATCCTAAGTTGGCAGTAACGTAGTGTGGTGCAGTGACGAGGTTGATCATTATGTTAGATTCAAAATTCGACTTTTATGATTAATATTTTAAATTTTATTTTTAAAATACTTAAAGTCCTGTGTCAGATAATATTATTTAGCCATGTTTAAAAAAAAAAAAACTTTAAGATGTACCAAAATTATCCGGGAGACACACTCTTATTGCTGAAACTAAAAAAACCCCCCATTTACAAGTCTAGTATTCTAACTTACAAGCCCTAGCAAATGAAAAACCTCATTGCAAATTCATAGATAGGACAGACCTCATTGTTTTTTCTTTTTCTTTTTTCTTGAACAATGGTTTATTTTTAGGGAAAGGATTAAAGGAAATTACTTTGAATCTCTAAGCTAGAAAACTAAACGGGCAGCTAGTTACTTGAATGAATCCACCAACTTATCCATGGCAACAAAAGTAGAACCTCCTTCACTCTTTGCTACCACCGCAGCCTCTTTTAAAGCCATAACTCGTTCTCGAACAGCTTCACCTTTCTTTGCGTTCATCAACTCAACCACACGCTCCTCGAACTCACCCGCACTGACAAAATCGTCTTTATCTGCTCTCACTCCTAGACCCGCCTTCATTTCTTCAACCAAGAAAACTCTATTCATCTTCTGCTCTGCATATAGAGGCCAACCCAACATTGGCACCCCTGCACACACAGCTTCAAGAATTGACTTCCATCCACAGTGAGTCACAAACCCACCAACCGAGCCATGGTTTAGTATTGCAAGCTGTGGTGCCCATGACTTCACAATAAATCCCCTGTCCTTGGTTCCATCCAAGAATCCTTCTGGAAATATTGACTCCAAACACGGTTCAGTACTTCTTGTATTTGTCTTACCAGCTTGGGTTGGCCCATCTAGTTTTGGAGCACGCACTGCCCACAAGAACCTAACCCCACTTTTCTCTAACCCAATAGCCATTTCCTTTAACTGAATTGAACTAAAGACTCCCATACTACCGAAACAAAGATATAAAACACTGCTACTTGGTTGCGAGTCAAGCCAAGTTAGACACTCGTGTTCTTTTTTGCTTTCACCAGTGATTGCAAGTGGGCCAACAAAATACACTGGTGGTGTTGGCTCATTTAGGCTGCAATTTCTTTCTTGTAATGCCTTAACTGCGTTTGGCTCTAGTAACTCGAATGTGTTTATAATAACTCCTGCAGACTTAAACATGTTCTTGCCCGTGTCAACGAAGTACTGATAAACTCTATGAGATCGATCACAAAGAACCGGTGGCATATCTTTTGATGGAACTTTTGGCACACCAGGAACGTCAACAACGATGTCAAGATCTTTCAGGCTCTTTGAGATGTTTTTATCAAGTGTAGGCAAGTAAAGAAAAATTGAGAAGCCACATGCACCAGAAGAGTTGAAATAGTAAATGGGGATGTCGAGCCTAGAGGACAGAAACTCGAAAGCAGGGTTGCAAAAGAAATCTATAACTAAAGCTTTTATATTGGAGGATTTAGAAACATTTAAGAGGGTTTGGTAGAGGTTTGGGTTGTTGAGATTTGGGATTTCAAAGAATGAGGCTACTAAATCTAAAAACGAAGTGATAGGAGTTGGAAGAGAAAGTTTGGGAAGGGGAATGAAGGTAATGGAGGGGTTGGCAGAGACAATTTCAGTAGAAGGGTTGGACATTATGCAAGTAACTGAGACTGAAGGATGGTGTTTGACTATGAGTTTGCCTAGCTCCAACATGGAGGATAAATGTCCTGGTGATGGGTACAAAACAACGGTGTCCTCCATTATTGCAGGCTTCTATCTGTTTGATGAATTATGGAAAGACCGATGGAGGAGGGAGAGATCGATATGGACAGATATCACGGTGGTGATGTGCTTTGGCTTTGTATACTCCTTTAAACTTGGTTGGGTTGGTAGGTGGCTTGTGTGGCCAGCGGGGAGAGTCGCGTTCTTAGTCCTGGCCTTTGAATTCACCGGTGAAATCAATTGGATAAACTTTTTTACAAGCTGTGTCTGTCATGTGTGCTTGTGTGGTTGCAAGTACAAGGGAGACCATATCGTTGACTGTATCTGTGAACACCTCTATATCAGGGACCAGTGTCACGTAAATACTGTAATTAAAATGTGGAAAATTGTAGTTTAAAATCAATTTTTTTTAGCTACTCTTAAACGGCAACGTTTTAGAAATTTTAGGTCCGTGATTTTCTTTCCAAAACGGGCTGCTACCTATCTATATAAGTATGGATATTTGTTTTCTCAAGAAGATCTACTAGAAAATATTTATTAATTCTTATTTTCTTTCTTCTCTTGTAGCTCATTAAGCATATTGTTGATTTCTTTCTTTTTCTTCTTTTTTCGATAACATTTGATATTGTGGTTTGCAAGAGATGCGTTAGTTGTGGTATCCGCTGGATTTTGATCCAGATAAATGAAAGGATTTGTTTTACTTTTAATATAGAGTTAACCAAAAAGAATAATAAAATATCTAAGAATCTTATATAAAGGATGTCTTATGAAAATGTTAAGAATCCGATTTAATAACATTATAAATTTTAATATTATTCTATTAGTTTAGATTTTAATTTTTTTGGTTTTTATTTACTTGTTTTAAAACTTCTTAGAGTTTTAATAGTTAAAATAAAATATCATTTTCTTTAGCTGATTAAAAAATAAGTAAAAGAAGAAATGTTTTTTTCATGATATATATATATATATATATATATATATATATATATATATATATATATATATATTTTATTTTTATTTTTTTTATTTTTTATTTTTATTTTTTGAGATAGCACGAATTCGTCATCAAAGTCTTTCACATTTAAATTGGCCAAAAGTTCCTTCTTTGACGTATAAGCATAGCAGGAGCAGACACATTCGTTATTAAGGGTTTTACGTGTAAATTTAATAAGCATATAATTACTTTTGTTCAATAATAAAAATATTATCGAATCATTTTACTTGTCAATCAAAATAAATAACTCATATTTTGATACATTCATAAAAATTTAATGAATTTTATTGTTAAAAAAAAGAAGCAAATATTCTTAATCCACGGGCTAACCTCTTTGAGTTAATAAGCATTATTGTTAAAAAAATGAGATTAACCTATTTTTAAAATTTAATATTGAAGTATATTATCAAAATTTTAGTATTTTGGTATCTTTTTTATTTAAGAGGTAGAATAAAATTACACATTAATATTAAAGTTAATTATACTGTTTGTAGTGTGTCGAAAGTATAATAATTTATCAAAAAAATTTAAGGACTTGGTACTTTTTATATAATTATATGGATCAGAGAATCCAAAACCAACCAAAAGAAATTAATTCATAAGTCTAACGTTTTAAGTTTGAGTTTAGTGACTAGCTTTTTTTTAAAAAAAATAGCATATCTACGTTTGATTAACTTTATTTATAGAGATATTCTAGTATTGTGGGATCCCTCTAAGTATGCATTAGATGTGTAGCTAGTCAGTCTGTATTTTTTGTCAAAAAAAGAAATTCGGCATATCACATACCTTATGTATTCACGGAATATAGACTTTGTTGAAAAAAGATATAACCTATTTAAGTAGTTTAAAAAATTAAATTGTAATACTTAATATAAAAAGTTTATTTGATAATCTAAATAATTTTATTTTCAAAATTTAAATTCAATCAAAATCTATTTAATTAAATAAATTAAAATTTTTAATTTGAAACTTTTTTATTAATATGTTTAGTTGAAAAACTTTAAAACTTTTTAAATATGATTATATAGTCTTCATATATTCTTATAATCTTATTTATACAAACTGATTGAAAAATGATTTTATATTGTAACTTTTTCTATTCCGAAGATAATTATTCTTAAGATTTTTTTTTATTTTTTTATTTTTTTTATGCATGAACAAATGGGTATGAGAATTTCTCTGTAAGGTTGAAAACCAACCAATAAAAATTGAACATGTCATAAAATACGTTCTTTAAAAAGCTTGTGAAGAGTTTTAATCTAGATTTACATGTTAGCTAATTCAAAAATGTTTATATATTCGGATAAAAAAAAGTGATATCACTTGTAAACTAACTAATAATTTAATTTTTGAATTAAAATAGTTTTTGTTGATATGGTATCTTGGTTTTATTAATTAAGTGATCATAAATTTAAATGCAATCAGTATCCTTTCTATTTTGATTGGATCGATTAAGTAGAAAAATGAATATCCCTCTAATGCTGGCTGATTTCTTTATAATCGAATGGTGGAGTATCATAAGACTTTTTTAACATTAGCAAATTTCACTCTAAGTACTCTAATATTTTGAATTAGTTTTAATCAATCAAGTACATGGATTTGACTTTTTTTATTTACTTTTAAAAAAATATATGTAAAAGAATATGATAGAAAAACAGATAATAGAACCATTTTCATTCTGAATTTAAAATCTTTAATAATTCAATATAAAAATTATTGCCTCATCAACAATAATCAAGGGTCCATATCTTATCCATACCCACATTGTATCAACAATGTTAATAGTTAACGGATAACGCAATACCCACTTAATATATATATATATATATATATATATATATATATATATATATATATATATATATATATATTCTATCAATCCAATTGAAAAGGTCAGACACACTTATTTGATAAAAAATAAAATTTGTGTACTTCGTTGATCAAAAGTTAGTAACTTTTTTTAGAAAAATTATTCAACTTTCACTTTTCTTTAACCATCTACTTTAACTTCTTCTTCTTCTGTTTTTTTGGGCCAGACCGAGAGATGTCAAACTGGTTCAAATCAAATAGGTCAAGAAATAAAGGTTTTAATGGCAAAAATTTTCCTCCTTTTAATGTAATTTAGTAGATTTAGGCTTTTAGTACTAATTTAAGTAATTTGAACAGAAAAATATCGATTTTTGTGCAAATCTTATCCAAATTCATTGGGTATAATTGTCAACAGTTGATCATTAATTTTTTTCTACTTTTTTTTTTGCTATTAATTTATTTTAAAAAATATTAAAATTGTTTTTTTTTTCATTCTTCAAGGGAGATTCTTTTTATTTAAAATTTTCACATATTAATCTCCTTGAACTTTCATAATCAATCAAATTGTTATTTGTATATATATTTTTTTTAATTTTAAAAAATAACTTTTATATATTATCATTATCCATTAAACTAATCTATTTGGTTGAATTTGATCAATTGAAATTATTAAATAATTAATTTTAACTGAAACTTTTTTTTTTGTCATGCCAATTAACGTTTTATGCCTCAATCTCAATATTTTTCTTTCTTTTCTTTTCTTTCTTTCTTTTTTTTTTTAAAAAAAAGGTTCCGAATATTTTCTTTGATATTGAGTCAAATTTAATTATGATCGCGTGAATAGAATAATATAAAATTAAGGATCTATATACAGCCGATCCCAACTAATTTAGTAGTTGTTGTTTCGTGTATTCAATTTTAATTTTTTAATGCAAGAAATATAAACAAAATTCTTAGTATTTTTATTTTCTAAATTGTAAATGTTACCTACTTTTTCATACAAATCATAACAAAATAAGTCGATTTTTTAGACCACTAATAATCTTTTTTGTGTTTAAGTTCTGTTTCTCTAACAATTGTTAACCTTGAGGTCATAAAAAAAAATTAATAAAAAATCAATGCTTCTCATATATCCGGTTTAGTATATTAAAAAAAAATTAATAATTTCCCGTAATTTTTAAGAGTTCAGTAGGTCAAGTCAATTTTGAGCTGAGCCAGGATGACCGAAAATATAACTATTATATGTGGCCCAATCTAACCTAGCCATAGTAAGCCCATCCTAACTTTGCCGAAATCCATAATCGGCCCAGCCTAGAAAATAGATGGCCCGGCTGAGTTCCCAATTCCATATTAGTCGTCGACCTACCTTGCCAGTTGCTATAGCATAAAATCGAAGTGTCTTGACTCCGTTGAGACATCTTTTCTTTTTCATGCCATCAAAACTATTTTTGGATAAATTTATTCGAGACTAAATTTTTAAAAGATCTTATAGATATACTTGCTACATCTGTCAGCTTGTTAAAAGATATTTAATAATTTTTTTAAAATTGCTGGAGAAATTTTAAAATACTAAATGAATAGCTAAAAATGTTTACGCTATTGATCTATTTTTTTAAAAAAGATATACATAAAAAAAATTATATTCTGATTTTATTTTTCTCATATTTATTTTTTTCTTCTAAAAATAAGTATTGTTAGTAATTTTTTTATAAAAATAAGGATTGTTAGTTACTATTTAAGTAAAATAAAACTTTTTGGTGACCCTAAAATTTAAATTTAAAAAATAAACAAATAAAACATATTTCATTAACCATCAAACTAATTTTTTAAAATCCTTTAAGGCTCTTCAAAAGTGAATTAATTAGAGGACAGAGAGGGGCTCAACGACCAGTCCCATCTAAAATTGGACTACCAACCGTTAGAAGTGCAGTGCCCATCTCTACACGTATCGATTCAGATCCACGAATGATCCGTAGCCATCCTTTTGGTTTGGTACAATTATAAATAATTTAATATTATTTTGTTTTTTTTTTAAAAAAATCTCATTTTCTTATAGCTCTTTTCATTTTTTTTTTACTTTTTTATTTATTAAAAAATAAAAATAATTAAGTTATGAATAGATTTAAAAATACAAAGATTCATTAATCAGTTACTAAAACTAGAGAGACTATTTATTTACTTTTAAAAAACTAAAAGAACTAATTGATAATTTACTCTTCCACAATGCCCTTGTCTAAAGGTGAAAACTCCAATTTGCATACCCAACTTTTGATTCTTTTTTATTGGACACTCAAAACAATAAAAAATAAAATAAAAATTAAACACTAAAATTGTAGTTTTATCATCTCTAAAGTCCGAACAGACAAATATATGTGGCTTAGTATGGCTTGTGTTTCGGATTTTAATCCAAGGTTATATCCCTACAATATTTAATATATAAGAGAATCATATGCTACAATATGACCGTATTGCATTTCAGAAATGGACTACACACATAGTTTATTCAAACATACTCATTTTGAAGATTTTTGATTAATTTCAATTTATCTTGATGAGGCTTGTGGCGATTCTAGTTTTTCTCCTGAGATTTTAATAAAAAATCAACTAACTATTTTTTTTTTTAATTTTGAAATTTGATCAGATAGAATTTTTTAAAATAATTTGATGAGATAAAATTTTTTTACTTTTGATTAAATGGTCAAATGATTCTAACTAGATCATTTTTATTTAAGAATATAAATACAAAAAAAAAAAAAGTAGAATATGTATACAAAAAATTATATGTAAAGGTAAAGTTTAAACTATGAAGCTCATTAAAAAATAAATTAATTTAAGAAATAATAAAAACTAAATCATTGCTTATAAAAGGAAACAGACTATTAATTTTATTAAAACATTGCTCAATATTCTATAATAAATTAATTAAATCATATTAATTTTTTATATTTTAATCTTTTAATTATATGAGTCAAGCATTGCACCACGTAATTGGTGTCAACATTAATTAGTTTTATTAAATATATTGTTGGATTTAATTTATTTTTCTTTAGACATTAAATTTTTTTACTTTTAAAGTTTTGATCTTTTATGGTCTTCTTAATTTTTTTTTTTTTATAATTTTCAATCTATTTTATGTTTTTCTTTGTTTTCAATGTAAATCACACTGAAAAAAATAAATTTTATTTTTGCATCTTATATTTTTAAACACAAGTAACATTCATAGTATCATTTGGACAATTTAATTAGGGTAAAAAATTTGATCTCATCAAATTATTTTAACAGAATTCCTATTTGATCAAATTTCAAAAGTTTAGGGATTGAACCTTTTTTTATTTTTTTTGTGTGTGTGTATGTGTGTTACTTAAGAAAACTTGAACGAAAATATTGACACGTGATTGAAATTCATAGAAAATATTGACAAAATTGAAAATTCAAAAAAAAAAAATTGAATTTGCCTCAAACCTCAAAGGGTAAATTTTGAAATTAACCAGAATATTTTCTTTGTAAATCACATATAACAACTCATAAATGTGTTAATTAGTACCCATCGCTTACATGTAATTTGTTAACTGCACAAAGGCATTTTGCTAATTTGTTGAATAAGAAATGAATAACCTATTAATCGAGAGGACTGCCTATCATAAAATTGCAGTGTCGTGACTCCTTGGAGATCACTCTAGAGGATCAAGAGAATTAATTTTCGGATAGAGACGAGCTAAAAGAATGGACTGCCTACCAAAGAATTGCAGGGTCCATCTTTTCATGTAATGATTCAAATCCAAGAAAGGTCGTCATCCTTTTTGTTTGGTACGTAGGAAAATGATGGAGACAAGCCCCTAACAAGAGAAGATCGTCCAGCTTTCTTATTCTTCATGACCACCCTCTTTTCTTTGTTTTGTTTTTGTTTTGCTAGACTGGTGTTAAAAGTGAGTAAATTATAAATTAGTCTTTTTAGTGTTGAGCAACAAATTAATTAGCCTTTATTATTTCAAAAATTAATTATTTAATCTTTATGTTTTTTAATTTATTTGTAACTTAATTCTTTTTTGTGTTTTTTAAAATTTATTTTTTTTATTTTTTTTGTTTTAAAATAAAAAAGAACAAAATAAATAAGAAAATATAAGAAAATAAGATAATTTGTAGAATAAATTAAAATTAAATTAAGTGTGTTCAATCCTAATAAAAAGATTAAATAATAGTTTTTAAAACGAAAAAGATTAATTAATTTATTTCTCAAAACTAAAGATACTAGCTAATTTATAATTTACTTTGTTAAGGTTGATTTGTTATCTCGTCGAATCAGAAGTTAGAGTTTATTTCGTCCACTGAAAATAACATGAATTCCATAAACATGAATTCATTTTTTTCTTATTCTAGAGAGAGACATGGCTTTAAGCAAAACAGTTGGATGTATATAATTTCACTCCATTCCACAAATGTTCTCTAATAAGAAACTGATACAATCTATCGGGATATTAGAATAATAAACAATACCTAACGAAAACCAGTAGACGTGAAAAACACGCTAATCCGCTGTACAATTTGCTTCTCTGTCAATATGTAAAATCTGAACATATCATATAGTGTCTAAAATGGTTTATAAATCGTATACACAAGATGACCGTAAATTTCCTAATAGTTAGCACGTAGGAATGGCAAAATGATTGGATCCGAGATCATCTCGTTCTGTAATTTTTTTGAACGGGGATAGGGCGAGGATGAGATTTGCCTATCCTATCCCGTTTTATCTTGTCAATAATGACTTATAGTAGAGTTCGTGTGATTTGATTTCTTGTTTAGGAAACAAAATCATGTAAATCGTGTGTGCTCGTTATAAAACCTATCAAAACGAGACAAAATGGGATGAGGCGGGACGAACACAAACAATAAAACGAAGCTCCATTTATCCCACGAGGAACCCCATCTCCATTTAAGACAGAGATGGAATGACAAATTCTACTCCATTTAGGGCACGGGGCGGGGATAGGGATGGGGATGGCGATCCCCACCCCGCCCTGCTCCGTTGCCATCCCTATTAGCATGAGAGGATAGTAATCAATGTCCACTGAAAGTACCATGAATTTAAAAAAAAAATGAATTCATTTTTTATTTAGATTTTTTTAAAAAAGTTCTCAAATCTTATTTGATTTTTTTGGTACTGTATATGTTTATAAAATCTGTATTAATTTGATCATGAGATAGTTTTGATAATCTTACAAGTAAAACATATTACATTTAGTTTCTCGATTAAAAAAAAAAAAACGGTAACAATATGGCTTGATACAACACAAATCCATGCCTTCTCCTCAAGCCCTTTCTTCAGATCATTGGAACTTACATTGAATTTACTTTGCTCCTAAAATTACACCCTGGAAATTCAAGTTCATGTAAAAATTATTGGAACAAACATTAATTATAAAACCTCGCGGTTAAAAATTATGAATTAACCTAGTTGAAAAGAATCCACCAACTTAGCCATGGCAACACTAGAAGATCCTCTGTCACTCTTTGCCACCATCGCACCCTCGCTAAATTGCATAGCTCTTTCTCGAACAGCTTCTCCTTTCTTCGAGTTCATCAACTCAATCACGCGCTCCTCCAGCTCCACTGCATTGACAAACTGATCATCTTTAGCTTCTCTCAGTGCTAGAGCCACCTTCATTTCCTCAACCAAGAAAATCCTATTCATCTTTTGCTCTGCATATAGAGGCCAAGCAATCATTGGTACCCCAGCACACAGAGCTTCAAGTATCGAATTCCATCCACAATGAGTCACAAACCCTCCAACCGAGCCATGGTTGAGTATTGCAACTTGAGGTGCCCACGAATTCACTATAAATCCCCTGTCTTTGGTTCTGTCCAAGAACCCTTCTGGTAATAGCGATTCCAAACATGGTTTACTTGAAGTACTTGACTTAATAGCTATGGTTTGACTATCAGATAGGGGAGTACGCACCACCCACAAGAACCTAACACCACTTTTCTCCAACCCAATAGCCATTTCCTTCAACTGACGTGAATTAAAGACTCCCAAGCTACCAAAACAAAGAAATAAAACACTGCGGCTTGGTTGTGAGTCAAGCCAAGTTAGACAATCGTGTTCTGTTTTGGTTTCACTCGAGTTTAAAAGCGGACCGACGCAGAATATTGATGGTACTGAGTCGTTTGGGGTGCACTTTCCTTCTTGTATTGCCTGAAGTGCCTTGGGCTCAAGTAACTCGAATGAATTTATTATGAGACCTGCAGATTTGATCATCTTCTTGGCAGTGTCAACGAAGTATTGGTAAACCTTATGAGATCGATCAGACATAGCTAGTGGCATCTCTTTTGATGGTATTTTTGGTATACCATGACAATCAATAAGGATGTCAAGATCTTTCAAGCTCTTTGTGATGTTCTTATCAAGGGTAGGCATGTAAAGAAACAAGGAGAGGCTACTGGCACCAGAAGTGAAGAAAAAGTAAATGGGGATATTGCTGAGTCTAGAGGAGACAAACTCATAAGCAGCACTGCAAAAGAAATCTATAACCAAGGCTTTAATATTGGAGGATTTCGAAAGATCCAAGAGGGTTTGGTGGAGGTTAGTGTTGTTGAGTTCAGGGAGCTCAAAGAAAGAGGCTACGAAATCTAGAGGAGAAAAGGAGGTCATGGGAGGGAGAGAAACTTGAGGGAGGTGAATAAAAGTAATGGAGGGTTTGGTGTTAGAGACTGTGGCAAAGTAGGGGTCATCAAGGGAGATTGTTTCAGTTGGGAGGGTGGAGAACATGACTGTAACTGAGATTGAAGGATGGTGTTTGAGTATTAGCTTTCCTAGTTCCACCATAGAGAACAAGTGGCCTCTGCCTGGTGATGGGTACAAAACTATGGTGTCCTTCATTATGCAGGCTTCTTTCTTTTTGCACAACCGCAGAAAGAGAGCGAGGTAGATGGATATCACAGTGTGAACCGTGGAGGTGCTTTATATGCAATTTAGCTTAGGTTCTGTGTTTACCAAAAACGTTATAAAGAAACCAAAAAACAAACACTTAGGTTCTGTGTTTACCGCAAAAAACGTGAAAAAAAGAACAAATACTTAGGTTCTGTATGGATGACCTGACCTCTTAAGTAACATCATGTGACACAATTACAATTAATAGCCTTAACTCTTAAGTTGGAAAATTAGTTTCAAGTAGATTACAGGACTAAAAATTAGTTGGATGAAATAAATACATATTTTTCTTCTTTTTTTCTCTTTATGGTCCAAATCACAATAGATTGTTGACTTATTATATTGCCGGTAATAATACCTAAAATTTTGGTATATATAGACTCCAAATTAAGTGAGATATTTTACACATTTTAGCTTCCATAATGATTTTTTAAATACCATTTTATCTTTTTTATATACCTTTACTCCATCTTGACGTATCATCACCACCGCTGTTAGAATATACTAATGCTTTTTTTTTCTCTCATATTAATTTTCTTATTAAAAGTATTTATTTTTTAGAAGATTTTGAAGACGTGTTTTTCACATTAACTTAATATATTTAAAAAATAGATTTTACTAAACATTAATCTCAAAATTTAAATTTAAAAAATTAAAAAAAAAATTCTTGATCATCCACCATACCCACTATCGACTCTTTTTCGCTAATGACACTTTTACTAACTTCTTTAAGTTGTAAGATGATGATATTGTCCCTTCTTTTCTATCTGAAATATCAATATTATTCTTTAAAAAGAATTCAATATTTGATGTCTCTAACCATTAATCTTAAAACACAAAAGCATCACACACTTCAACAACAAAAAAAAATCTCGAATCCCTCGACAACAAGGACAAATGAGCTCAATTCACTTGTCTTCTCCGCTGGCTAACTAAAATCTAAACCATTCAATTTTCGCCTCTGTCCCTACTCTCTCTTCTTCTGTTTTCCTAGTACAAGGGAAAACCTTTTCTTAGATTCTCTTTTGACTGAAAAAGCCAAATAATCCCTGGAATCCCCAAACAGTATTACATTTTGATCTGCTCCAACTTTCAGTATTATCCATCAATGATAAGAAATAATAAAATAAAAAAAATTTAGAAATAGCGTGGAAGTTAAGAGAAAAAGACATGGAAAGTCATGCTTTTCTTCTTTTACAAATTTGGAGCTACCGGGTAATAAATTTCCTTTAATAAGATTGAAAGAGATAGAAAAGCTACCTCATAATACATAGATAGGTCTATCGGCAAGTCGAAGCTAACAGTCGATGAGAAAACAAAAAGAAGAAGGATAGGATGAGAAAGAAAAGGACAGAAGTCGAACCTTAAAAACAATGAAAAACGACAATGTTAAAAGGGGTAAAAAAAAAAGGACCGGATAATTATATAAAAACAATATAATCGACTTTGATTAGATATAAAGCTGCTTGCTCCCTCATCTATGTTATTCCTGAGGGCCAAAACTTTTTTTTTCTTTTTTTTTAATGGTATGAATACTCTAAAATCAGTTTTACATGCTGAGATAAAATTTATTTCTATTGAATTATAAGCAAGTTATGCACATTCGAATTGATGCATTTGTGAAAAATTATGTTTTTGGCAGAATTCATTCCTAACAGACAACACGAAACCGAACATGGGCATCTCCACAGTATCTAGTGATTAATTTTGGATAATACAAAAGTTATTTCTATAAAATTCGTTAAGCATCGGATATGAATCTAAAACATTTTAAAATCTACATTCTTTAAATAATCTCTCAAACAATAATTAATATTCTCTCCGTTTTAATTTTTTTATTTTTATTTTTCACACGTATTAAGAAGATGATTAATTATTATATCATATGATTTTTTTTTAATTCATACTTTTCAAAACTATATTTTTTAAAATTATATTAGGACAATTTTTTATAAAATAAATTTTAATTAAAGATGTTTCAGTAAAGTATATCACTTAAATTTTTGTGTATGATTTTTTGAAACAAAGGGTACTAATATTCAAAATAAGATGACGTCCTATTGGAAGAATAAATAATACATATATTAAATATAATTAATAGTAGATGATTCCCAAATCATGAAATAAAATGTTTCCTTCTAATATATATAAATAAAATATTTAGGTAATTCATTAACTTCAACTAGTAAGACAAATTCTAGACTTCAAATTCACCATTACACTTTCATCCTCTACTTGTATGGGAATGGAAAAATAAAACATTAATTAATCATACACTGCTATATCAAACACGAGTTTCCATATATTTTGCATCCGCAATTATAAGACATTAGCTTTAAATAATTTCATAAAAATGCATTCATCATTCTTCGTAAAACATGTCATACATATCAAATACTTTCTTTAACTGCTTTTTTTAAAACACAATTTCACCTAATTTTATTTTTTTACAGATGTTTATTGATTTATCTACATTCAATCGTGCATTTACAAGTGGTTAGTTGGAAATAAACTATATAAAATCTAATAATAAAAAAAGATCAAAATACGTCTCTCGTATAAAAACAACAAAATTGACCATGTGCAAATGGCACGAGTCAAATATACTAGTCAACTGAAGTCTCACTTAAAATCATATGCAGGGTAAAAGGGGCATGTGCAGGACGACGTTTCCTTGAAAATTTTTGTTCTGTCTCGTTACTTAAGCAGCGTTACAGATCTGATACAATAAATAAATTTATTTACAAAAATTATTTTAATTTGATAGTTTTTATCACATCGTAAGTCCAACAAATATATCAAAATCAAAGGTAATTTTTTTCATATAATTTTATGATTTTTAATCAAAATTTTATACCTAATTAATTCTTTTTTATGTTTTTAAAAGATTTTTTTCTTAATTTTTTTTATGCATGGATTCTTAAAAAAAAATTGTAATAATCTAAAGAGAAATTTTCAGTTAATCGCTAATTGAAAAAAAATTATAATTATAATATTTTTTAATTAATGTAAAAAATATTTTATAAAATTTAAATAAAATTTTATCCTTATTTAATATTAAAAAGAAGATTAATTCTGAAATATGTATATTAGCTTATACATATATTCCAAAAATAATAAATAATAGTAGCATAAAAAAAATTCTATTTGAAAAGTATGGTACCATCGGGCTTTTTTTTTAAAAAAAATATTTTAAATATTTTATTTGAATAAAATTGATTTCACTAAATATTGATTCTATCCAGAATAAGTAAATAAAACACGTAAATTCCCCTCATCTTTTTTCCTTCTTAATATATATTTTTAGTTCTAAATTATATATACTTGGTCATTGTGCATATGCCTTGCATGTATAACAATTACTTCTTTTTTTTTTCACTTTTTACTTTTAATTATCAATCGATGAGTTTTAAAATATATATTTTTAAAAAAAATTGAGAAAAAAATTCCCCTATACACTTTTAGCATTTAAATCAAACATATATATTTAGAATCATGATAGTTTTATTTTGAAATTATAAAAATTCATCATATAAACTATATTTATTTATTTGATAAAATAATAATCATGTTCATAAAAATTTATTTGAAAATCTAGACAATGAGAAAAATAAATTACATTGATAAATAAAAAATTTAATAAAAAAGAAAAAACTAATTGAATGAGAATTTTTATAAGAAAGTATAAATTTAAAATAAGAGTAATACAATTTAAAATATCTGCTAAGTATACAATATAAAAACACATTATTTATATTTCTTCCTTGCTAGGTAGCAAAAAACTAAAAAAAATAATTATGAGTTATCGAAAATTTAAACACAAAATCAAATAATAAAAAAAAATCCAAAAAAAGCAAATGTCCATGAGCGTGCCAGGCCTGCACCCTTGGACTTGGAGGACCAGACCCATGTATGTACGGGCTAGACACACATAGGCCAGCTCTTGAAAAAACAAAGTGAAATGGCCAGATGATGCCTTGCCTGCACAATGTGCAAGAGACGAACGCGTTGGCCGCTTGCCATTTTCATTTTCACTGAAACTACAACCGTCAAAGATCTTACTAAGGTATTATATTTTGGCCACCCAAAACCAATTTCAACACCATTTTTGTCCCAAAATACCTCAAAATCTCTGAAATTAAATTAAAAAAAAAACTTGTTTGAAACTTAAAACTCATTTTAATGCACCTAAAATACTCAAAAATTCAAATCAAATTAAAAAAAAACTCAAAAATATTTTTAGCCTCAATCTCATTTCTCTAACCATTTCATGACTCGAGACCATCATACATAAAAAAACTCTTATATTTAAAATGAACAAATCGAAGTTAAGATTAATAGTCAAAGTGGCCGTAATGGATCTCATCGTGGGTTTCTCTCGCTTTCCTTCTCTCTTTTTGTTTCTCTCTACATTCAAGGACCAAATTACAATATAAATGAAAATAGAAATTGAAAAAAAAAATAATTTTAGAAAAATTAAAGACCAAAGTGCAATATTTGTTAAAACTTACATATCAAATGCTTGAACAAAAGCTAAAAATTCCTAAAAATACAATATCAAATACCTAAATAAAGATAAAAAATTGCAATACTACGAATTGAATAGAGCTATTAGTGTGAGTGAATAGTAAATAAATAGTAATTTAAGTGTTGATAAATAGTCAATGAACAAGTGAACACTCCACTTCTTTTAAGTTTTCTTATAATTTTCTTGTAGGATTAAATTTATAAAATTAGTGATAGCTTTAGGCCATATTGAGAATAATTGCCTTTGCATTGGATGAATGTTGGTCATATTTTCTTAAGCCAAGCAAATTTATAAACATGTCGAGTGGATTGGTTGTTATTGTTTGTTGCTACCTAACATCAAATGGAACCCCCCAAAAATTAAGATTCATACATCGCATTTATGGTTTATTTAGGGATGCAAGTTATTATTGAATTCGAAA